GTTATAGAGATTAACGTTGTAAACTGTTATACTTCTGAGTTTAACAATTGAACAAATATCTTGGATTGAAATAAAGAGAAGACCCTAATTCCTTTCTTGAAAAGAGAAGTTGTTTAGACACTTTTCTTTACGGGAAAGATCCTTCAAGGCATTTCAAACTTCTACGAGTCCTTTTCTCCCTGTGTCCCTTGACAGAAGCAGCGTTGGGTGGGTACAGCGCCTGAGTGTGGAGATGCAGCCGGGAGAGTGTTCATTGGCATGCCCGTGCTGTCACCATCGCGCTATCCCTGTGCGGTTGCTCCTTTGGTGGAATGCGGCTCGGTCGTTGCGGGCCGAGCCTCGTCTTTGGGCTGCCCTGGTTCCGCGGCGTTCGGTTCCCGGCCCGGTGTCCCGGCGGGTTCGCAGTCGCGGGCCGGGGCGAGCGGCAGCGCGGGCTGCGGGCGGCGGCGGCTGCAGTCCCAGCGCGCACCGCTGGGTGGTGCCCTCGGCCAAGGCGGCGCCGAGCGGCTGCGGCAGCGGAGGCGGCCGAGCCCGGAGCGGCACAGCCCGAGCGAGCCCGGCCCGGCCCGGCCCGGCCCGGCCCGGCTTAGAGCAGCGCAGCGCAGCCGGGCGGAGGTGGCAGCGGCTGCGGCAGCGAGCGCTGCCCCGTGTCCCCCGCTGCCGGGACAGCCCGGCTGCAGAGGTTGCGGAGCGCCGGCCGCAATCTGAGGCAGCGAGGGAAGGCGCCCGCGCCGCACTTGGCCGCTTGCTTTCGGCGGGGAATCGCCCGGGACAGCCGCCCAGAGAGCGACACCGGCCGCCGCCGCCGCCGCCGCCGCCGCGCCATGGCGCTCGCAAGGCAAGTGCTTTGTGTGTGTGCTTTGCTGTCGCTGCCGCTCGCTCGCGCCGAGCCCATCCGCTACTCCGTGGCCGAGGAGGCGGAAAGCGGCTCCCTGGTGGGCAAGCTGGCGGAGGATGCGGGGCTGCCGCCGGCGCAGCTCTCGGCTCGCCGCGCCCGCCTGGTGTCGGAGGACGGCCGGCAGCATTTTCGCTTGGAGCGCGCCTCCGGCCGCCTGCTGGTGGCGGGGAGGCTGGACCGGGAGCAGCTGTGCGGCCAGTCCGCCACCTGCATGCTGCCCTTGGAGCTGCTGCTCTCCAGCCCCCTGCAGTTCTTTCGCGTCGAGGTGACTCTGGAGGACATCAATGACCATTCACCAGTTTTCCGAGAAGACCGAGTCACTTTTAGGATCCCGGAAACCAGCGAGGCGGGCTCTCGTTTCCCTTTGGAAGTGGCTCGGGACCTGGATATTGGCAGCAATACAGTCCAGGCATATAGCATCTCTCCCGAAAACGAGTATTTTACTGTCTCCTATGGGACTGGGGTTACAGGCAAGAAGTATCTTGAACTGGTTTTGGAAAAGCCACTAGACAGAGAGGAGCAGGAAGAGATGAGTTTCAGTGTTATTGCCGTGGATGGGGGCTCCCCTCCCAGGACTGGTACCACCCAAGTGACTATAGTCATTCTGGATATAAATGACAATGCTCCCATATTCTCACAGGAGGTGTACACAGGGCAGGTTCTGGAGAACCTGCCAGAAGGCTCTGTAGTTCTGACCGTGCTGGCAACTGATCCAGATGCAGGAGTTAATGGGGACATCTCCTATCAACTTAATGAAGTGGTTGGTGACACAAATGAATAGAAATTAAAGCAAGTTTTGATAGAGAAGAAAAGACTTGCTGAGCCAGTATTTCTGGATAACAAAGAAGTCACAGAGTATGTTAGTTAGAAGGGGTTTTTTATGGCTTAGAGCAAAGGATAAACCCACCTCAAAAAGATGTTTTTACCAAGCAGAAAGATAGCACAGGCAAACAGACATGTCAATGTTGCAAATGGAAAAAAGGTCTCAGAAATTTCCGCTGCAAAAAAAACCTGAAAAACAACTTCTAGCTGAAACTGTAACTTTTAATGATCGGGTATTAGTAACAGGAATATGGTAATTATAGTAGTTATGATAGGCTATAGGTAGAAGTTAAGATATAGATTGGTTCTTATGTATTAAGATGCTCAGCAAAGAGAAGTATATAATGCATTAGAACCAAAATTAAAGGGTCTTCAGGCTTGCCTGGAGCTGGAGGTGACATCTGTGGGTAGAGGCTCCACTGGCCATGAACCTGGACTGCTGAATCATCTTCAATTCAATAATTGAAGATGTTTCAATAATTGAACTATTTTGAAGATCCACCTGGAGTCCAGCAAATGTCATTCAGGCTCTTACTAAGAAGAACTGAAAAAAAACCAGAGATTCAGATTGGTCATTGCTTTCCCTGAAACCCAAAGCTTCTCAATGGGACTAGAAAGCGGTCCACGCATGATTTTCTGTGTTTGTGTTCGAGAATTTGCATTCCAATGTTTACCCTTTCTCCTCTGAAATGCACTGAGCACTGTAGTGAACATGTTCCTCTAGAGAAGGTCGGCCACCCCATGTAGAATAACCGTTTGTTTGAATGATGTCTCAGATGCATGAAGTACAGGAAAAGCCTCCCTCATGCTGTGGGGTCCTGAAGTGATACACTTTAATGTTGTAAATTACTATAAATCTGGGATTAGAAAATGAAAAAAATGTGTTAGACTGAAATAAAGAGAACACTTGACTGCTTTAGTGGAGACAGAATTCCTTCAAGAGAGGTTCTTTCTGGGAAAGCCCTGTCAAGACATTCCAAAATTCTGCGTGTTATTTCTCCCCGTGTCCCTTGACAGCAGCAGTGTTGGGTGGGTACAGCGCCTGAGTGTGGAGATGCAGCCGGGAGAGTGTTCATTGGCATGCCCGTGCTGTCAGCATCGCACTATGTCTGTGCGGTTTCTCCTTTGGTGGAATGCGGCGCGGTCGTTGCGGGCCGAGCCTCGTCTTTGGGCTGCCCTGGTTCCGCGGCGTTCGGTTCCCGGCCCGGTGTCCCGGCGGGTTCGCAGTCGCGGGCCGGGGCGAGCGGCAGCGCGGGCTGCGGGCGGCGGCGGCTGCAGTCCCAGCGCGCACCGCTGGGTGGTGCCCTCGGCCAAGGCGGCGCCGAGCGGCTGCGGCAGCGGAGGCGGCCGAGCCCGGAGCGGCACAGCCCGAGCGAGCCCGGCCCGGCCCGGCCCGGCCCGGCCCGGCTTAGAGCAGCGCAGCGCAGCCGGGCGGAGGTGGCAGCGGCTGCGGCAGCGAGCGCTGCCCCGTGTCCCCCGCTGCCGGGACAGCCCGGCTGCAGAGGTTGCGGAGCGCCGGCCGCAATCTGAGGCAGCGAGGGAAGGCGCCCGCGCCGCACTTGGCCGCTTGCTTTCGGCGGGGAATCGCCCGGGACAGCCGCCCAGAGAGCGACACCGGCCGCCGCCGCCGCCGCCGCCGCCGCGCCATGGCGCTCGCAAGGCAAGTGCTTTGTGTGTGTGCTTTGCTGTCGCTGCCGCTCGCTCGCGCCGAGCCCATCCGCTACTCCGTGGCCGAGGAGGCGGAAAGCGGCTCCCTGGTGGGCAAGCTGGCGGAGGATGCGGGGCTGCCGCCGGCGCAGCTCTCGGCTCGCCGCGCCCGCCTGGTGTCGGAGGACGGCCGGCAGCATTTTCGCTTGGAGCGCGCCTCCGGCCGCCTGCTGGTGGCGGGGAGGCTGGACCGGGAGCAGCTGTGCGGCCAGTCCGCCACCTGCATGCTCCCCTTGGAGCTGCTGCTCTCCAGCCCCCTGCAGTTCTTTCGCGTCGAGGTGACTCTGGAGGACATCAATGACCATTCCCCCGTCTTCCCCGAGAAACGAGTCACATTTAAGATCCCTGAAACCAGCGAATCGGGTTCACATTTCCCGCTGGAGGAGGCTCAGGACCTCGATATTGGCAGCAACAGCGTCCTGGAGTACAGCATCTTTCCCGAGAATGAGTACTTTAATGTCTCCTATGGAAGTGGGACTGAGGATGACAAATATGTTGAACTTATTTTGGAAAAGCCACTAGACAGAGAGGTTCAGGCAGAGATGGGTTTCAGTGTTATTGCTGTGGACGGTGGCTCTCCTCCTAGAAGTGGGACTATTGAGATCTCTATTATCGTTCTAGATGTAAATGACAATGTTCCCAAATTCACGCAAGAACGTTATGTTGGGAAGGTTTTGGAGAACATGCCAGAAGGCTCTGTGGTTCTGACTGTGCTGGCAACTGATCCAGATGCAGGAGTTAATGGGGACATCTCCTATCAACTCAGCCAGGCAGTGGGACAGAGTGACTCAGCATTTGTGATTGATGCCATAACTGGTGAAATTAAACTCACAAAACCTCTGGACTTCGAGGAGGCAGAAACTCATGAATTCCGTGTGAGAGCCAGAGATGGTGGAGGACTCTCAGCTATGTGCAAAGTGTTGGTGGAGGTGGTGGATGTGAATGACAATGCCCCAGAGGTGGTGGTCAGTTCCTTCAGCAGTCCCCTCCCCGAGAACACAGTGCCCGGCACGGTGGTTGCCCTGTTCTCGGTCAGGGACCGGGATTCTGGTGCCAACGGGAAGATCTCCTGTGCCCTGGAGGATGAGCTGTCCTTCTCCCTGCGGGCAGCCTATAAGAATTACTATGAGCTGGTGACAGTGAGCGCGCTGGACCGGGAGGAGAGGCCTCAGTACATCGTGAGTGTGACGGCAGCAGATGCGGGCTGGCCTCCTCTGAGCACCACGCAGACCTTCACGGTGGAGATCTCGGATGTCAACGACAACGCCCCCGTCTTCAACCAGAGCTCCTACACCATGTACGTGCGTGAGAACAGTGCGGCCGCGGTGTTTGTTGGAGCCGTGAGCGCTGCAGATGCTGACGTGGGGCTGAATGGCAAGGTGAGCTATTCCCTGGCAGCAGAGCAAGGGGCGGAGCGGCCCTGGTGCTCCTGCCTGTCTGTGGACTCGGAGAAGGGGCACGTGTTTGTGCTGTTTCTAATGGGCTTTGGGTATTTGGTTAGCACTCAAAGCTATGTGCCTCTTTCTCTTGCTGTCTGAAAAGTCATAAGAAGTTTTTCTTCTGAGCTTTAAACAATGTCACAGTTGGCCAGACAAATCATATCCCCACTGCAAAAAATGCTAATAAAATTCAAAAAGCCCTTTTTGCACTTTGGAAAATCAAGGATATTGTCAGTAGTGGGGTGCTATGTCACATGGCACCAGACCCTTTCTTCGCTGGATTCTGGATGTCGCTGTCTGAGATGTGTTCTCTCTGTTCTTTGCTTTCCTGTCACTGTGACTGACAAGACATTCCTGTTCATTCAGACACTCAGTATGTGCAGATGCTTCAGCAGTGCTGCCTGGTGAAGCAGGGAGTTGCTCCCACCCAGCCATTGGAGCACAGGCAGCTCCAGCCCAGCAGGGAACGAGGCGATTTGGGCCCTTTGACAACAGCAGTCTTGTCTTTCTTAAAGCAAGAAAATGCACAACAAAACCTTCCTTTGGCTTATAAGAAGAGTTTGGGTGTTCTGTCCCCTCAGGATTGCCTTGGAAATAGAGCAGCACGAGCAGTGTTAGGGTAGACTGTAACTGAACAGAGCTGTACAAACATGTTCATTGTGATTGAATGCATTGAAGGAGAAATCCACAAATACTAAAACACAGTTATTCTAAGGTGGAGTCAGGAAGTGTTGGGAAGGATGTAAGTTTGCCAAGAAAGTCTGACAGATATGTATGCTTGGCAGAAAGATTTTTGAATGTAGACTCTGGCAAATGAATAGAAATTAAAGCAAGTTTTGATAGAGAAGAAAAGACTTGCTGAGCCAGTATTTCTGGATAACAAAGAAGTCACAGAGTATGTTAGTTAGAAGGGGTTTTTTATGGCTTAGAGCAAAGGATAAACCCACCTCAAAAAGATGTTTTTACCAAGCAGAAAGATAGCACAGGCAAACAGACATGTCAATGTTGCAAATGGAAAAAAGGTCTCAGAAATTTCCGCTGCAAAAAAAACCTGAAAAACAACTTCTAGCTGAAACTGTAACTTTTAATGATCGGGTATTAGTAACAGGAATATGGTAATTATAGTAGTTATGATAGGCTATAGGTAGAAGTTAAGATATAGATTGGTTCTTATGTATTAAGATGCTCAGCAAAGAGAAGTATATAATGCATTAGAACCAAAATTAAAGGGTCTTCAGGCTTGCCTGGAGCTGGAGGTGACATCTGTGGGTAGAGGCTCCACTGGCCATGAACCTGGACTGCTGAATCATCTTCAATTCAATAATTGAAGATGTTTCAATAATTGAACTATTTTGAAGATCCACCTGGAGTCCAGCAAATGTCATTCAGGCTCTTACTAAGAAGAACTGAAAAAAAACCAGAGATTCAGATTGGTCATTGCTTTCCCTGAAACCCAAAGCTTCTCAATGGGACTAGAAAGCGGTCCACGCATGATTTTCTGTGTTTGTGTTCGAGAATTTGCATTCCAATGTTTACCCTTTCTCCTCTGAAATGCACTGAGCACTGTAGTGAACATGTTCCTCTAGAGAAGGTCGGCCACCCCATGTAGAATAACCGTTTGTTTGAATGATGTCTCAGATGCATGAAGTACAGGAAAAGCCTCCCTCATGCAGTGGGGTCCTGAAGTGATACACTTTAATGTTGTAAATTACTATAAATCTGGGATTAGAAAATGAAAAAAATGTGTTAGACTGAAATAAAGAGAACACTTGACTGCTTTAGTGGAGACAGAATTCCTTCAAGAGAGGTTCTTTCTGGGAAAGCCCTGTCAAGACATTCCAAAATTCTGCGTGTTATTTCTCCCCGTGTCCCTTGACAGCAGCAGTGTTGGGTGGGTACAGCGCCTGAG